TATTGCGAAGAAGAGAATATTTCCTCTTCTACAATCGTAGTGTTTTAAATATGCATCGCACCATAGTGCCAAATTATCGTAATGTCATGTTCGAGAGCCAAGACACACGCAAGATATCCGAATATCGGTTTCTTTAACGCCCGTCCTCTAAAATTTTAGCTTCCATTGACAATTCCAGCGGTTTCTACTTTTAAAACCTTGTTTCGTTCCTTTTGTACAGAGATCGAAATCACCGATGCACGCCTTCAACTCAACCCGATTACAATACCCTGATCCATCAAACGATGGATAGGCCGGGGGAACGTGTACGAGTCTCTTTACTGCTGTACAAAAGTAAGGTGTAAAGTGAAACTCACGCAAGGAAAAAGATCACGAGCCGTTTCCGGGGACTGGACGACCGATTTGGACATGCGGTCCGGCGATAGACAACGAAAAAAAGGCATGGGATGACCAACACTAGATTCAGGAATTTCTCCTCGGCGCGGAGGTGCCATAATTTGTCGTCTCGAAAAAGAAAGAAAAAGAAAAAGCCTCGCCAAAGAGAATCGTACTCGTCGTCCTCATCTTACGTATCCTCTCTCCGTGGAGTCTTCGATCTCTTTTATACGAAAACGTATCGCTCAAGGACTCGCGTTGCACACATTGATGTGACGGTCCAGCGACGACAGTTTCGAAAGAGTATATATAAAACACACACGAAGGGAACGGAGTGGGTATTCCGATTCCTGGGGCTCTTCCTCTCTTTCTTTTTAACAATCTCGACGATCGGCAAACATCATACGCCATCAAGGTATGGTGGGGATCTCTCTATCTTCCCTCCTCTCTCGATTAAGCTCCCAAATATTTTATATCCTTTTCTCATAGTATCGCAGAAATATTAATTTCAGACGACGTTAGGGGCGCGGCATATGATTCGTGATCCAAAGACTGACGAATCGAAGCAGTGGCGGATACGTGCGAATCGGTACGAAATAACAATTGAAAACAAGCACGAAGCGGTGAACACGGGCGGTCATCCGTCATATGAAACGGACGACTCACGACACCGAGAACACTCACGCAAGTCCGTGACATGTTTCGTCGTTATTCGTCAACACGATCCTCGTACCACACGCGAGCACGTGCATTGCGATTCTGTAGACTCGGTCACGACCGCGACGAACGCCAACGAACGTCCAACAATCGCTCGTACGTCGCGCATTCTTCTCTCCTTTCGTAACTTGTAACTCCCATTTTTGACACCCGACTCGGAAACGTTCCGATTTAAGAACGACGGCGGGGATTACCAAAAAAAAAGGATCAAAGATACGGAGAGTAACGATACGCAAACGCAAGCAGTATTGGGTTACGTGAACGAC